CTGGGAGACTCACAGCCATTGCACGAGTTTGAGGCTGTCTCTCCCCCATCCTAATCTGGTGCTCCAACCGCTAAAGCCTCTACGGAGAAGAGCTACTGGGGCGCCTTCACACATGCCAGATAGTGCCGTTTCAGTCCAGCAGCCGTTTGCAAGGGGAGTTTGCCGTTTCACACAGTAAAACCCAGTTGCAGAGTGCGTTGGAAGCAGACTGAAAGGGCAGTATTCACTGTGTGTGGAAGCGCCCTAGTACACTAAAATATCTGAAAGGCTGTCACTTGGAGGAAGGCAAGGAGCCGTTCCGGTTGGCGGCAGAGGAGAGGACCCGAAGCAACGGGTTTAAGTTACATGCAGGAAGGTATCGGCTGGATATCTGGAAACACTTTTTCACAATCAGAGTGGTTCAAAGGTAGGATCAGCTGCCTAGAGAGGTGGTGAGCTCCCCTTCACCGGAAACTTTCAAGAAGAGGCTGGACGAATATTTGTCAGAGATGCTTTAGGCTGGTCCTGCATTGGACAGGGGGTTGGAGTAGATGATCTGTATCACCCCCTTCCAACTCTGTGATTTGAGCCCTGTGACACCTTAGAGACCACAGGTTTTTCAGGTTATGCGCTTTCAAAAATCAAATATACAAAGGATATCTGATGAAAGGGTCTTTGACTCTCAAAAGCTCATACCCTGGAAATCTTGGGCAATTCTGCATCTGACATTCGATCTACATTTTCTCAGCTGGGAGGAAAAGGTGCAGCTCAAAACCACATTCAGATACCCCAGGACAAGGCCGTACTGACTGGAAAGTCACCCAGCAGAGAGCCAGTTTGGTGTAGTGGTTAAGTGCGGGGACTCTAATCTGGGAGAACCGGGTTTGATTCCCCACTCCTCCACTTGCACCTGGCTGGATGACCTTGGGCAAGCCATAGTTCCATCAGAGCTGTTCTTGAAAAAGAGCCGTTTCTGTCAGAGCTCTCTCAGCCTCACCGACCTCACAGAGCGGTGTCTCTGGTGGGGAGGGGGAGTGAAAGGAGTTTGTAAGCCGCTCTGAGACACCTTTGGGTAGTGAAGGGTGGGGTATAAATCCATCCTCCTCCTCCTCCTCCTCCTCTTCTTCTTCTGATCCAGTTTGGTGTCGTGGTTAAGTGCGGGGACTCTAATCTGGGAGAACCGGGTTTGATTCCCCACTCCTCTACTTGCACCTGGCTGGGTGACCTTGGGCAAGCCGTAGTTCTGAGAAGAGCTGTCCTTGAAAAAGAGCAGTTTCTGTCAAGAGCTCTCTCAGCCCCACCTACCTCACAGGGTGTCTGTTGTGGGGAGGGGAAGGGAAAGGAGTTTGTAAGCCGCTCTGAGACTCCTTTGGGTAGTGAAGGGTGGGGTATAAATCCAATCTCTTCTTCTTCTTCATATAATACACCATTCAAGGCAGAAATTTTACTTTTATATGTTATATAGGGAAATCTTGATGGAGAAAAAAGAGCTAGTGGCATCATGTAGTGCTACAAAATTTGTAATTGCTCAAAAGTAGAAGAGTTATGTACCACTACATATATACCATTGATACCAAAAAGATTGCCATTTGTGCCTTTTAGAAAAAGTGGCCACGAGAATACAAAATACAGCATCAGGCTCTCATGCTACTAATTCTGAGGCTGTGTGGTTTCCCTTTTTAAGCTTTGTGTCTTGACATGACGAGACAAGATGGTTATCAGATCGGACTAAATCGATGTTAATAAACTGACTTGTCTGAGTTATTTCCTTACCCGCGAAAAATAAGTTGTGATGGCCTTGGGAGAGAAAGATTGGACTAAATTGATGTTATTAAATTGCCTGAGATATTTCCCTTCCCGCAAAGAGCAAGTTGTGATGGCCTTGGGAGAGATGGAAACCTTGTCCTACTATTTGGCATTTCGTTTAGGTACTGTACTTGTATATTTAGATTTGTTATCTTATGTTTGGTATATGCATTTTGTAATTTATTGGGTTGAATAAAGACAGGGGTCATTTCGTAGAAAAAGAGGTGCAGGAGCTCATTAGCATAACTTATTAGCATAACTTATTTGCATATGCCACACACCCTGACATCACCGGAAGTGTGTCAGAAGGCAACACCCACCACTCAGGCTCCACTGGACTGTTCAGGATTGCTAGCTATTGGGGGGGGGAGAGAACGTGCAGATCTGTCCTCACAGAGGAGGGAGAGCTTGTACCTGAATAAAACCTGATCTTAAAGGTGCCACTGGACTGTTTTGGACCGGGGGGGGGGCTCTGCAACTTACCTGGCTGCTTCTTGCTCTGACTGAGGGCTGCTGGGAGCAGGGGGTGGGGCTTGTTGCATGTGCCCCGCCCCCTGGTCTCCTTACTGCCGGAGCTCCGCTCCTGTGCGCTCCTGCAGGAAATGATCCCTGAATAAAGATATATATATTTTTAAAAGTAGGAAGGGCAGTGTTATTCCGACAGCAGTGTCATTAAGTGTATCCCGTTCCCATAGGGCAAATTGTAGCTCCGTTTCAGGTTGCAGAAATGGTGCATCAGACAAGGTGTAACCCACCCTCCCCTCACATTGTCACCTTGGTCTGAATCAGGCCCCATGCACCTGTTTTATAGGAAAAGATTAGGGAGCTCCAAGCACTCCGATTCCTATTCAGTTTATCCCTTAACTCAGTTTCGAGTCAGCCTACCGTAAAGTAGCACAGCTATTGGGTTAAATGTAAAAAAAAAACCCCACATTTGACTTGGAAGTACAGAAGCTTTACACTGTAATCCCCGATTCTCCACATTTTCCGGTTAAGGGGGAAATGCGGTTCAAACAGCTTACAAAGATGATCTCTCTCCAATGGTAACAGGAGAAATTTTCACTTACAAAAATAGAAGCACAATCTTACAGGACATATTCATGTAGGTACGTTTGACTTATTGTGGCCCCGGTCACATGGAGAATTTGCCACGCGAAAGGCACGAATGTCGGGTGGATTTTCGGGACGCGATCACACCGCAACATCTGGGAAGCGTGGCGCACCCGTGGCCAACCCGTGGCATCCCGCTGAAGATGCGGAGTTAGAAAGTACCAAGGAAAGGGCACTAATATCCGGAAAACGCGGGGCGGGGGTGGGCGTCTGATCGCGGGAGTACTAGTATCGCGGGGTCTGATCGCGGCAGCGCTAGTATCCCGTGGCATCCAGCACCCGTCCACATCCCGTCGTGAACCGGCTGCTTTTCGTAAGTGCATGCGCACAAACATGAAACTGAAAGCAGTGCTGCTCCGTGGAATTGCGCACACACACAAACGCAAAACGCTGGTGTGATCGTGCCGCGCCGCTTCTTTGCCACGCAGCGGCATCGCCGTGTGATTGCCAGCTAACAGCCGAAGCACAGAGATTCGGGGGACTGTGTGATCAGGCTACTGCGCTTTATTTTGCTCCGGGGTGAACAGCCACGCCTCCCCCCCCCCCACCGCGTTATCTGGCCTGAAAGAAGAAGAAGAAGAAGAAGAAGAAGAAGAAGAAGAAGAAGAAGAGAGGTCCTGTATAAAATGGAACAGAAGGCAAGCAACGGCCAAAGAGGCTCCAAAAGGAGGGTGGGGCCAACTGCCCAGTGCACCCCAGTGGGAGAATTCTCTTAACCCTTCCCCTCCCGGATCCACTTGCAGGCAGAGTTACAATATCCAACACCAGCTACCAAGGTCCAGCTCTTCCGGTGGGTCCCGCTGCCACCCATGCTCCCAGCTGCATTGCACTGCCCAGGACAGTCAGGGATGAGTGTGAGACCCCTGGGAAATGAGCGTCTGGGCAGGGGCAGGATGGATGGCAACAGTGGTCCCTCTAAGCCGTGGAGTCTCGTGAGCAAAAACTCCGCTTTGCGAGCTGCTGGCATTAAAGCCGTGAGCGACTGATTTGGCTGCTGCATCAGTCAGTTTGCTCCGGAGCCCTCCTTCCTGAGCGAAGACAAAAATGTGCTTACCTTTAAAGCCCTGAATGGCCAGGGTCCTGACTATCTAAGGGACCATCTCCTCCCGTATGTTCCCTCAAGGGCACTGAGATCGGGGATGTTCCATCGTCTGGTAGTTCCAGGCCCCCGAGTGGTGAGGTTGGCCCACACGAGATCTAGGGCGTTTTCGGTGGCGGCTCCTTCCTGGTGGAATGAGCTCCCGGAGGAGATCCGGGCCCTGCGGG